AGAAATAAATAAAAAATAAGAAAATAAAACGAAAAGGAAAAAGAAAATAATAAATAACTTACATATATAATAAATCACTCTCACCTAAGAACACCTAAGTGCATAACCCATTTAGTGTCAACCTAATCATAACCCATTTAGTTTCAATCCACCAGCACATTACGAATACTCACATCCAATACATCCCCAGCACAAAGACAACTCACTTACACCTCACTTCCCATGCTCTCACCCACATAGGATCAACCCCGTATTCTTTTACTTTGTAAACTAATAGTAACGCCCCAGGCCATTCATCAATTTTCTTGTAATCCCATTACTATATTTAATACTCTTTTTATCTCTCTTTCTGTCTTTATCTCTACAATGATGTATTTTATTTCTTAATTGTCTTTCCTTCTCTCTCTATATATTACATATATGTCAACCTTCTTTCTATACCACCCGTGACCACATTTCCCTATCTGCTACAACACTCACTGCACAACACAAAAGAACTTTTTTTTCCACCCTTCCATCTCTCACGTGATCACATCTCAGCCCTTCATCCAATTGACAAGCAACATGTTTTTTTTTTTTCCTAATTGGTACTCACACACACATGTTAATTTTACATCTTTTAGTTTCTTTTTCTTCATTTTGTACTTCTTTAAAAAATCTTTATTTCTAGTTTTATTTCAGCATGAGACCGAGATAGCGTAGAAATTTTCTTGAAACATTCTTAAAGATTCTGAAAATATATATATTTTTCTTCCTCCCTCTTTTCCTTTCCCTCCAATTAAACATGAAAAAACTCTTTTATCCTCCCTCTCATCTATCCCTCCTCAATTCTTCCCTCTAACAAAAAATAAAATAAATTTATCCATTAAACAAGATATGTACAAAACAAGGACTAAAATTTTATACGAACAGATAAAAGTCATGATTAATATTTACTTTTTTTTAGTTAAACGGTAAGCTTGTATAAATGAAGAAATAATGTACATCGGGTACCAGCGCACAACACAAAGCCCAAAGGCAACAAACAACATAAGAGATGAGAAGAACAAAAACTAATAGCTAACATAGACCAAACCAAAAAGAGCAAAAACTAAATATAATGATCAGCTAAGAAGTGATTGTGCAGTTACGAAGCTGTATCCTTGCATTAATAGATGTTGTAGATCTTCCCAGCTAAACAATAACAAAAGTTTACTAGAGTATCTTAGTTTAATTGAGGCTAGTCTTCCTCTGGTGCAGTTTTTAATCTCCTTGATGATAATATGAGTAAGTGAGGACCTGTTTCTGAAAGCTCTTGAATTCCTTTCTAACCATATGAAATAGATAGCAGCTGAGAGGAGCAGTTTGTGCAGTAAAAATCCTTTAGAACTCTAATTTGAGGTACACCAAGAAACTAGATCCTGCCAGCAATTAGGTTTCATGTAGAATCTTGCACTATGTTGAACAAAGTTCCAAATTTCCTCAGAGAACTTGCACTTGAAGAAGATGTCATCTAGAAACTCCTTACAAGCCAGGTAAAGGTAGTAAGCATTGGTTTAGAATTCAAAGTATATAACCTTCTTCTTATTGCAAGCCAAGCAATGAAACAATACTTTGGGATATGACGCATAAACCAAATGATATAGTGCCATATGAAAATAAAAAATACTGGCACGTAGTAAGTGAGGGTATGTGAGAGGGAGAAGGTTTTAGTTGGTGATGGTCAATGACGTAGCCACAGAGGGACAAATTGGGGCAACTGCCCCTATTGAACCTTTAATTTTTTTAAATTTTATATGGAACGATTTTTATATTTGTATAATTGTCCTCTAAAATTTGACAGTGCACATATATATAACCAAAAACCCATTCACGATTTTACACAAAAAAAAAAGGAATATAATTATGTCATAATTGTAAATATATATAATATATCATCAATTTATACTTTCCCAGAAAATATGATATTTTTTTCCACTTTCCCAAAATATTATATTCTTTTCCATTTTCCATAAAAAAAGAGGATTTCATCAAGATATTCTATCACACTTTTGACTTAACCACAAATAAATAGATTGTTTCCATCACATCTTCAGTTTTCAACATTTTCACAATCCAAATAAAGTAAGCGGAGCAACCATTTACCAATAGACAGAGACTCAGTCAGTCGTACTGCAGTGCGGTAAACAAGTAATATGATATTTTTTTTTTATCATCTAAATTTACGATTATTATTTGATATTATAAATTTAATTATAAAAATTATTAGTTATTACTATTAAAATTATTTTTGGGCTTGTTGTTCTTTCAAAATTTAATTTGTGTAATTGTGTTACTAATTATTATTCTCTAAATAAGATTTAGAATTTTTTTTTTTTTTTGCAATCCAAATCAATGAAATCACAGATTCACTTACTCTATCAAATTTTCTAATTGATTGAATTATCTAGTTATAACTTATAAGGTTAGATTTGGTTATCATGGTTTTTTATTTTTATTTTATTTTATTTTTTTACATATGTGATATATTAGAACAGTTAGGTAACTGTGTTATTATATATATATTTTTATATCTTATTCTTGATTCATTGAATATGATTTTTTTTTATAATATATTTAATTAAATGAACGCAATTTTGAAACAATAATGAATAATCTGAAAAATCGTTGAGAATGTACTTAATGGAAATATTATGAATTAATGTTTTAATTTTTACATATATTGTTTTGGTTCAAATTATATATATATTTATATTATTTTTATTAAATATTGCTCCCACAGAAGGAAATTCTTGGCTACGCCACTGGTGATGGTCGCCATAGTGCATCGTCTGATAGAGTGGATTGGAGAGGCAAGTTGTGTAACTAGGAGAGGAAATTATGGGATTGGAAAAATGGGATATGAGCCAAGGAATATGGGACAACCCATTGACAATTGAAAATTAAACTATCAACTTTGACAAATCTAGTTGAAAAGTTTTTACTTTAGTGAGGTTGAGATGTGAAGTAACAGGGCCATTGGGTAACCAGTAGTCTAACCACAACATAATATCAGTGCCATTACCCACACAATGCATTATAATCCCTCTTGCCATATCCCTCAACATTAAAAGCCTTTCAGGAGGCCATAATTTAGTGCAGATGCCTTTACAGTCCAAAAACTCATTCTCTTAATCAAGTACTTGTAGCACTAAACAACCCACAAACTTTATTTCCTTCTATTAAATAACCTACAAATGTACTTCAAATTTGTGATTATATTTGATATTTCCAGATTTGGAAAGCCAATACTACCAAAGGGTTTTGGTCTATGTACCACATCCTAGGCCACTATGGCCCTTGAATTCTTTAAATCCACACCAGACTACAAAAAATACCTCAGATTTTGGTTGACTTGATTAATCACCTTCTTGGGAAGGACAAATGTCTAAGCCCAATAGGATTGAATAGAGCATATAATGGACTTAATTAGCACTGATCTACTTGCAAAAGATAAAAATCTAGAAGTCCATATCTTAACTCTAGAGATGATGCTTTCCACCAAATATTGACAGCCAGTAGCATTAATTACTTTATTGGATAATGGTAAATCCAAGTATGTCACAAGTAAAGTCCCAGTTTTAAAATTGAGAAGAGCTAAAATGTCAGCCTTAATTTGGCTATCCACATCAGCAAAGAAGGCAAGACTCTTGGAAGAGTTGTTGCTTAATCTTGAGAGAGTGAAAAACTTGTTGAGGGCATCAAAGTGTTACGACCCAAATCTATAGGATCCGAGTGATGAATCCGGAAGGGATACGAACCGGGCTCTTACCCGAGCCCCAAAACCAACTACAAGTAAAATGGTCATTCCAAGACAAGTGAGAGGAGTGATTTGACTCTAAACGAGTCAAATGGGCTCCATTGAAGTCAGCCATTTAAATCCATTCCATAGGGTTCTAGATGCAAGAACATTGTTTTTCCACAAATAAGCTTATTCGGTTTAGGAGATTTTTGGAATAATCCTTACTAAAATGATCATAACTTCTTCTACGGTTGAAATTTTGGAATGGGGTTGGTACCATTGGAAAGTTGACTCAAAATTCTTGAAATTGAACTCAAATTTGGCCTAATTTGGAGTTAAAATGAAAAACTTAAGGCCTTCTAAAGTTGGAAAAATTATGTTTGTGAATAGAAAATTCAGTCTTATAAAATTGGAGTTTCAATTCGCTGAAACTTGAGTTTCGGTCGGCTACAATTCTAAATGTATTTAGTTAAAACTCCATGGGAGTGGAATTTCAAGTTTCAGCTCTCGGTTTCTAACCATTTGTGTAACGACCCACACCCGAGGTCCGGATCGCTAACTGGGTCTCGACCCGACCCATAAATTCATAAGGGTAAAATGGTCAATATGACCCGTACAAGGCATTGGGAGCCTACATGAAGTCCTAAGAGCCCATTCTAACCATTTTGATTCACTTTTGAATAAGAAAATCAACCCCGATCACTATTTGGGTCACTTAGGGTTACAAAGGTAAATCCGTCTTTTTGAACCGTGCAACTAATTGGAGTGCTTTTTGTCTTCTAGGACATATGTGGTCACTTAGGATCATTTAGAAATGAACGAAAACAGCTTGATTCAAGGCCGCCCAATTTAGGTCTAAAAAGGGCAAAAATGCTTTGTAAGTAAATGTCGCCATTCCGGATCGCGTTGATTATTATGGTTGATTATTAAGTTTATTTTCATTAATAAAATGTTTTTTCAATTAAATTTCTATTTTTGTGGTATAATTTTCTATTTATTTGGAGAGCAAAATATTGTGAGATGTATATTTCATATGGTAGGAAATAATTTTTATTATTTGGTACAAGCGAAATTGAAAATAAGAGTTGAAAGTGACAATAAAGAAAAAATATAAATACAGTATATTATTTAACATGTTTGATTTTTTCTTAAAATAGTGATAAAGAAATTAAAGAATATACTAGTATATATTTTCTATTTCCAAAGTGTCACCCCCTTATACTCTCATTATTTCCAAGCATCAGGTTGACGCGTACCCGACGCGGCCGCTAGTAGACGGTATTTTCGGTCAACTATTGCAAAACCCTAGAATGCATTTTTAAACCGCAACACACACCTATGTTGTTCCGTCTATATATATAGCGAACCAAATGATACTCGTAAGTCTATCTCGTGGGGGAAGTGACGAGCAACGTCATACAGGTATGTCATAATTCATATATATATGTTTATAGATGTATGTATGTATTTGTGTATATTTTGCCTCTCCTTTCAGCTGCAAAGCCATAGATCTTCTCATTTCAGCTGCAAAGCCATAGATCTGATGGATCTGTTTCTTGATGGCTTTTCTAGAGGCATATATTTAATCTCCAAAGTTTTAGGGGTTTAGTTTAAACCAAGGGCGGATCCAGGATTTCTTAATTTTCAAGAAGTAATTTTACAGCTTTACCCTATATTAGTATACTTTTGCTTGTCAAAGTTGTTAGTTATGATTTTTTTAGTTCTTAAAAAGATTTCCATCTTCAAAAAGCTTGGCATGTTGATAAAAATTGTTTCTGATTCAATCTCTGCAAAACTAAATCCTATTTCACCAAATATGATTTAGTTTGCAAAACAAGAATTACAGACCAAATAGCAGGCCGCAGGCTCCGCCCTGCGGAGTGTCGAAGAAGATTGTGTCGTCTGAAACTTGCCTTAACTAATTTATTTATTTATTTATTTTTTCATACCTTGTCTAAAATTTGAGGCCAAGGCGGAGAGGATGAACATACCTTGTCACCTGAGGTAATAACGGAGATGAGGTGACTATATATATATATATATATATATATATAGGAGGCTGAACTTGTAGCGCTGAAGCTGAACTTGTAGTGCTGAAGAAGTGGTGGGACTTTTAGGTTATATGTGGCATCCACTATCATATATAGTTTTATATTAACCACACTTTGTATGTGTGTTTTTTGTTAGCCAATTACCCCTTTCTTGATTTCAGGATGAGGAATCAACATCAACTTTTGTAGCAGTGATGATCATTGCTACAGAAGACCTGTGCAAATTAATAGAAAAAATTTGTTTTGTTAAAGCCTGCTCTTGATTTCCATGTGTTTGTACATTCTGATGGCAAGTGCTTTGACAGTATTATTAACTGAAATTCTAGCTGAGCCAACTTCAAATAACATCAATAACAGTGGTATGTATCTTCATATAAAAATAAAATATAAAAAAACCCTTAATTTGGCACTTTTAAGTATGAGCATAATTTAGAGATAGAAAAAGTTAATTATTACCTCAACGGCTCAACCCACTAGAAGGGATCCTTAATTTTTGTAGGATTGAATGTGAAAATGCAAAAACTTATGAGGAAAAGGGGTATGGTTGCTGCTGTTGTGAGATTGGAGTGGAATTAGGGAGAGGAAAAATAAAAAAGTGCCTGCCATAGATTCTGGACTCGATCGCCATGAAAGACACATGTAGAATTTGATAGCCATCACACACAGTGACACACACACACACACACACACAAAACCCTAGCTTGAAACTACTTTTCACTATTGGAACAAAGGTAAAGGCCCGAATCAAATGAACCAAAGTTAGAACAAATCAAATGATGAGATGAATGAAAGAAAGAAACACATATAAAAGAACGATTCATGCAAAAGGAGAGAGAATAGAGAGAGAGGATGAACATACCTTGTCACCTGAGGGATGCAAAAGGAGTGTTGAAGAAGATTGTGTCGTCTGAAAGTTGCCCTAACTTAATTTTTTTTTTTTTTTCCCATCCCTTATGGGCCTCAAAATTTGCCCAAGGCGGGCCGGCCCTGGCACTCCAATTTGTTGGCCTTCAGCAGTTCAGCTGGTTCAAGACTCAAGTTCAACCCAAATTTACCAATTAGTCTTTCAAATCCTGCAAAGGGAGATCCTGTTTCAGTCATTATCTTCACAAATATTTATAACTAAAATTCATAAAATAAAATAAAAAAAATTATATAATTGAGGCCCTAGGCGACTGCCTTGGGTCAGGGCCGGCCTTGGGCTTATTTGGCTTGGGCCTTTATTTTAGTACGGTGACTGAGTTGACTTGGGTTTGATTGGGTGGGCTAATTTTGGGATAGGCTAATACTATTAATAATTTATTTTTTGGGCTTTGCTAAAATTAGTATTGTAAATTTTTTTATTTTATTTTATTTTTTTTGGTGGGCTCAAGCCCACCAGAGCCCACCCCTACATCCGCCCTTGGTTTAGACCAGAGTTGTGGTTCTTGCTACTCTGGTCTCCCCTTATTTGGTACATTTCCATTAGAAAATTAATTTAATTTTCTTTTCTGTAGTAGCTTTGTGCTCCATTGGGTTGCCTAGAAATTGATATTGCATGAAATTAATATTTATACTAATTGTATATCTAAACAGAGTTGGTTTGGCTTGTTTTAGATGTCTTCTTGGCAACCATACGAATTCTATGAAGCATAAGATTAATATTGATCTTTTGTCTTGATGTCTTCCCTAAAACAATTATGTTTTTCATAAGTTGATATATTTGCAGCATTAGTTTGATTGCATTGGATCTAGTAATTTTGATTAATGGTGGTCTTGGGACAGGCAAAAGAGACACTTGCTGCAGCATGTAATTTTGATTGTGTTTTTATTATTCAAGGTTGTGACATTTAGGCAAAGCATGTGGTAAAGATTGCATTGTTACTTTTTTGTTTACAGAGAAATGGTAGGCGCAGTTGGTTGGCAACTATGGTAGCAACTCGTTGCACTAGTGAATAGAAGCTTTACACTATTTGAGTAGTTTATTGTAAACAAAAAATTAAACTAAGATTCCCTTTCATGCTGTTCTTAGGTGGTTTGGGACTATGTGATCTTTGCCAATCGCAAAATACATCAAATGTGTTGGCATTTTGTGATTGGCCGGGACCACATGATTACGGACTACCTAATACTTTCTAGATCCTCAATATCTTTATATATGAAACTTTTTCAAGATCTACACATGGCATTTAATGTGATAAATTAACTGAAATTCGAACAAGGAAAATGATTCTTAGTGTTATACCGATTTGTCTAACTTAAGGATTCTTATTCCTTCAATGTAGTGGATAAGACCCACATTTGAGTTTATCCACCACATCAAAGGGATAAAAACCTCTCAGCCTAACAAATAGACGTGAGTAGCAGTACTCTTCTATCAAAGCTTGTCCCACTGTCAATAATCAACTTCACTTATTATTCATTAGTCATACAAGAAAGTAAAATTAATGTTACAATTATTAATAGTAGCATAGAGTGGATAGATAATAAAGCCAATGAGTATTAAATCCAACAGTGCACAAATATTCTAGGAATAATGACTTTTTTAATGTATATATGATCATAATTCCTTAAAATAATGCTTAAATGCCATGCACTCCTACATTAAAAGAATTTATCATAATTTCTGAAAATCTCATTAAATGCCATGTACACCCACATTAAAATAAATGATCATAATTCCTTAAAATAACATTAAACTCCTGCATTAAAAGAAATTATCATAATTTTTGAAAATCTCATAAAATGCATTCTAAACTATTTGATTAATATCTTTTAGAAATAATATTTGATTAATTATTGTAAATTTAAAACCCTTATTTTTGGATTTGGTTTGAAGGTAGATTTTAGAGAGAGAGAGAGTGAAGAGCGAAACACAGAATGAAAGTGTGTTGAGCTATTCTTTACAACATCTATAATGGTTGCAGTATAGTAAATTTATCAAATTGAAAGGGCATGTCAATTTTTTACTCTTGTTTTATTCATAAACTCAAAGTAAGGAGCTTGTGTTCTTAACTGGGGCTGCAGGGACGGAGATCTGAGTAGGATCAATTTATTGATAGCTTTGTTCTGAAGGCATATATAAGTCTCATCCTAAGTCTTGGTGGTTTAATTTTATCTGGAGTTTATGACCTTCCTTTTGTGGCTTACCTTTCTTTGTTAAGTTTTCTAATAGATATGTGTTTCTCATTTTATTTTATTTTATTTTATTTATTTATTTTTTTTTTTGTGTTTATTAGAAAAATATTGATAATTTTTAGTAAAAACATTTCTATATGTCTAGATTCTACTCATAGTTGCTGAAAAGTTGAGGAATATGAGATCATAAAGCTTTAGTATGTCAAGTAAGTTAGTATGCAAAGTTTGCCTTAGTTTTGGAGAATATGCTGCTAGATGTTTGTTTTGGAGGATATAATACTAAATATTAGTTTGGAGAATATAATGCTAAATGATTATGTTTAATGAATTGCTTACTGAAAAAATTGCTTATTACCATACTAGTGTTTTGGTTTCTGTTTTGTGTTGGATTCATAGTTTAGAATCAGTTACTTGGTTTGGAAACATTTGTTTCTATAATATTTGTAATAATTTTTGGAAAATATGGTCTTCATGAATCTATCTTACTAGCCTACTATACTCTGAGTTGGTAATGACAATTGTGGAAATAATGCGATAACTTGGGTAGTAACGGTCAGAACTGTACATTTTATTTCACATCACTTTTCTATCGGATTCCCAATCAAAATGATCTGTCTATTTATTTTTTAAGAATTTATGTTACATGGACTCAATAAGTGTGGAGGGTGCAGGGATGGGTTTTATTTATTCTGTATTTTCTTTTTTTGTCATTCCAAGTAATAGAAAGTGTCGCATTTTAAATGCATTTTTCTAAGCATTAGCTTGACTTATACACAAGCACAGCAGATTGTATTGTAGGTTAACAATAGCAAAAACCCCAAAATGCATTTTCAAGCGGCATACGTAGCTCAATTGTTCTGTTTGTATATAGCCAATCAAAAATGATACTCGTCAGGGGAGTGATTAGCAACTTCATTACACTATGTAATAATAATAGTGATAACGTCTATATATTGTGAGATGATTTTATGTGTGTGTGTTTGTGTATTTTTGCCTCACCTTTCAGCTGCAATGGCATAGATTTGATGATCTGTTTCTTGATGGCTTTGTTCTGGAGGCATATATTCAATACCCCAAAGTTTTAGGGGTTTATTATTAACCAGAGTTGCTGTTCTTGCTACTCTGGTTTCCCCTTCTTTGGTAAATTTCTATTGTAAGATTAATTTTCTTTTTCTATAGCAGCTCCGTGTTCTGTTTGGTTGCCTAGAAATTGCAAGAAATTAAGTTTATGCTAATGTTAAATCTAATCAGAATTGGTGTGGCTCTATTTTAGATCCCTTTCAGTATACAAGCTTTCCAAGTCTTCTAGGCAACCATAAGGGTCAGATGGATCATTTGTTGCAAGTTTGTGGCTTGATGTCAAAGTATATCCATCATGTTTCTCATAAGTTGATTGATATACAGCATTAGTTTGATTGTATTGGATCTAGTAAATTCATCAATGGTGTATTGGATTTATTAATTCATCAATGGTGGTCTTGGCACAAGACCTCTGCTGTATCATGAGACCACGAAGGTTATATTTTATTACTCAAAGCATGAACCAAACAATGCATTGTGTTCCTTTTTGGTCTACGGAGAAATGCTAGTTGCAATTGCTTGGTGACTGTGGTAGCTTACTGGCTGTACTTTACACTAACAAATTAGTCAAGCACACCAATTAGCAAATTTTGATTCAACCAAAACTGGGCTATCACCCTATCTAAGCAGCTTTCCACTTACGGGTCTTTCATGGTAAAGAGATGCCCTTTCTTCTTGTTCCTAGCAAAGATCAGGTGGTCGGAATCATGTGCTCTTTGTTAATCACAAGATATACCAAATGTGTAGGCATCATTTTGAACTATAGATAAAGATGTTGTGCAACCAAATGTGTTGGACTATCTAATTTTATAGAGATCTACCCACGGCTGGAGAATGTAGGCATGGTGTTAATGATGTGTCTTTTGTTTTCTTTTGTTTTTCATCCTTCCAACCGAAAAGAAAAGGAAAAGGAAAGTTGTTTTCTTTTGTTTTTGTTTAGAAAATAAAGAAAAATATTTTCTAATTTTGGGTTATCATGAAAAAATAGGCATGAAGAGAAAATATAAAGAAAGCAAAGGTGGAAAATGGTAATTTTCCTTCAGTTTATATATATATATTTTTGATTTTGTTCTTCTTTAAATTTTTTTTTTATTTCTAATTTTAGACCAAGATAGCGCTGAAATTTGAAAGTTGAAACTTTTTTATAGATTCTAGAAATAATTTTTATCTCCTTCTTCCTCCCTCTTTCTTTTCTTCTAAACAAAAGCAAAAAATTTCTTGGGTATAATGACTACTCCTGAGGTTTGGGGTATAGAAAGATGTATACAAGTTGACCTGTTTTTTTTGATGATGACCATAGTTGTTAAAGGCTCAAGGCGCATAAAAGTGCAAATGTCTCCTGGAGCCTGAGGCGCAAGGCGAGGTGCAGGCGAGGCGCACGTTGGAAAAAAAAAAAAACAAAACCCACCCAATAAAGTATTAAAGATGCAAATCATGCAATAGTATATAGAAAGATGTAGAAGTCAACTAAATGAATTACTTAAGTTAAATATTCAACATAAAGATGCAAAAACTAAGTAAATCAAGTACTTGAGTTCAAAACAGTGAATAATCAAATATATTAACATAAAGACGCAAAAGTTAACTAAGTCAACTAAGGAGAAGTATAAGATAAAACTAAAATAAACATAAACATCATTCTTCTTAAGAAGACAACACCAATGAATCTAAATATCATCTTCGTCATCAATAAGCATAACATCATTTTGATCGTCACTAAATGATTCATAATTCTCAGGATCCTTTTCTATCTCATCTGAATCATCCTCATCCTCATCCACAAGTCGAATTGAAGAACTTCCTGCTCCCTTTGTTGGTAACCGTGAACTAGAACTAGATTTTGATCTAGTAGACCGTTGCGGCCTGCTTGCCTCTCCAATACTAGCAAAATTAGCAACATCACCCCATGTCAAGGAATCATCTTCATAGACTAGATCATGTTCTGCATCAGAATCATCCATCCACCCCGTCAACCACTCGTTGCTCTCATCAATGTCATTGAGTAAAATGGGATCAAGAGTGTTACGCATATTATATCGATGCCTTAATGCTCTATTATATTTGATGAACACTAAATCATTCAACGTTGTTTGAGCGAGCCTATTTCTTTTCTTGTTATGAAGCTGCAATAAATTCAACTTTAACTAGTAAGTATAAAAAATTAAAATTTTAATTTTCAACAATTAAATTACAAACCTAGTTAGTAAATACTAAATAGTATATACTTACATGCTCAAACACGCTCCAATTTCATTCACAACCAGAAGAGCTGCAAGTAAGGCTTAAAACCTTTATAGCAAACTTTTGGAGAAGTTTTGTTGACTTGCCATAAGCTTCCCACCAATTAGCTATTAAAAAAAATAATAATAATGATGTTTAGCAACTTTAGCTTCATCTTTCTATCGACTCTATTGTCAAAATAATTTTAACACTTAGTTATACTAACTTAATATACTTTACCACTTTACCTGGTCCTCGTGTACTTCTCTGTCTAATAGCAAAGGGATTACTAAAGAGGCCCTCAGCTTTAGAATATAAGGACAGCTCCTCAGTAATTTTGTCTTGGTCTTTGACATCCGGGACTAACCTTGCAATGCATGCATACAAACCCTTTGCAATCTCTTCATCTTCTTCAATTTTCGAATTTGAATAAAAGTATTATGGGTTCAAATAATAACCTGTTGCATGCAAAGGGCGATGAAGTTGAACATTCTACCTCTTATCAATTATTTCAAAAATATTTGAGTATTTATCTTCTACTCCCCCAAATGATTTTGCAATGGCTTCTTTAGCCCTATCCATAGCCGCATAAATGTATCCCATGGGAGGCTTTCTCTCGCCATCAACTAATCTCAAAACCGGAATAAGAGGACCGGAAACCTTAAGGCTAAAGACAATGTTGTTCCAAAAGGAAGGCATCAAAACATAAGAAGCAACTCTTTTACCGGCTTCCTCTTTCGCCCATTTACTACGATTCAATTCTTCTGAAGTAAACATCTTTCTCAAGTTATTCTTTTACTTGTGAATACTTGATAATGTGATGAAACATGTAGCAAATCGAGTCTTAGCAGGCCTAAGCAACTCCTTTTTGTGAGTAAAGTTCCTCATAATGTTCAACAACTTTGGTCGCATATAAATATAACTATTCAACTCCACTGCCCTTTGCATTGTTCTAGAGATGGACGGTATTTTCCCAATGTCTTCCAACATCAAGTTTAAGCAATGAGCAGCACATGGGGTCCAATACAAATGTGGGTGTTCTTTCTCTAACATCCTCCCTATTTGAAACCAAACGGAAAAAAGAAAAAATGATATAAAGAGAATGAGTAAATCAAAGTTGATTTAAATTATATATTTGTAAAGAATGTAAACTCTAAAAGTTATAAACATTGAACATTCTTACCGGCATACTTATTGCTTGACTCACTATCTGTGACGACTTGGTTGACATTTGCTACTCCAATGCGATTCACAAATTTATTAAGTAAGTCAAACATCTTGTCACCATCCTTTGAAAAAGAAGAAGTATTTATCGACTCAATAAACATGGTTCCCCTTGGACTATTTACTAGGAAATTAAGCAATGTTCTCCCTCTCTTGTCTGTCCACCCATCTGCCATTAATGAGCATCCAAATTTTGACCACTCCTCCCTATGGTCATTCATCAAAGCATTGGTATTATCCAATTCCTTCCTAAGCAAAGGAACTCTCACCTCATGATAACTAGGTGCTTTCATGCCAGGACCATATTGTCCAATTGCTTCAACAACCTCGGCAAAGCTATCATACTTAACAGCATTGAATGCAATTCCTGCATCATACATCCACCTTGCAAAAGCAGCACACGCTCTTCCTCTCAACTCTTTCTTGCATGCATCATTAATGGCTGTTTGTTTTCCCCCCTCCTTTCTTTTTGTACCACAATTTCCGGTCTGGGAGTGAAATATAAATCAATCGGTCCCTTTTGCTTTTGCATCTTTGAGGAATTGACACTAGCACTGCCTGCACTAGCTACCCTTTTTCCCCGATTGCTAACTTCCATGACATCATCCTCATTCTCTCCATCAATGAAATTAATCTCATCACTAGGTAACAAATTCATTTGTTCTTTTCCTTCCTTTTTCTTACTCATGTACTCTTTGATTTCTTCTCTAACACTAGATAGGCATCTTGTGCATGCACTCACATTTCTATATCCTCCAGCTAAGTGTTGCTTAGCCCGATAAATACCTCCTTTTGTAACTTTTGCACAGAAGTTACAAGTGACGGCATTTGTATCTTTCGGATTCTTCAAATGTGAGTAATTCCATGCCGGATCCTTTCTTGAACCTTCACTAGGCATCTTTTAAAGTTCAAACTACAATCAAGTTCAATAGAAATTATGTAAGCTGCAAATCAATCTAATTTTCTATAACTATAAGCACCATGATTCATTCTATAACTATAACAACTAAACATACTTTCAATAATAGAACCTAATTATATTATATGAAAATAATATAACAGTAAACAGTTGCTATTTACAATTTGCGATTGTTTTTTATAATTTAGACTTTAGAGTACACTTCACTAATTATTTCATTTTAACATGTTAGAATGATTCAATGGAACAAATACAGGCATACAATTTGGCTGCAATTGTGATTAAGCAAAGTAACTGCAGAATGTGTTGGCTTAAATTGGGAAATAGATCCGTCACAGACTCACAGTCACTCTCTACGTGGAGAGAGCTGATAGATCGGTTTGGAGCTAATTTTTATGGATTCAGTATTTCAGTGTTAAGTAACTTAAGTTTGATGTTAATAAATTTGACTTCAATTTGGTGTTAGTTGTTAACTAGACAACTTCTTCTCTCTATCAGTCTATCTCTCTGTATTTGGTATTTTGGTGTTATGTAAATTCTGTATAGATTAGAAGCTTTGTATTCCTCTGCAAATTTTACAAGAAAATCAATTAAATACCTTCTGATTTCAATAATTTTTTTTTTTTGGATAACTCGCAACCAAGAAAAAGAATTACATTCTATCTGTCACATACAGGCTACAACAATCCAAAAAAAAATAAAAAATAAAATAGCAAGTTTAGCAACTGTTATTTTAAGATTAAAATAGCAACATAATAAATTTGTCACAGTCCAGAGTCTCCACTCTCCTCTCCCCGGCCCCTTCATCAATTCCATCCATATATAACAATTTCTTTTCATAAAAAAAAAAAAAAAAACATGTGATCTTAATTGGTCATCAATTCCTAAATAAAAGAAAACTTAATATATGAATTAATCTATAAAAGTAAAAAGTTTCTTTGAATAGAGTCCAGACTCAAGAAAAAAAAATAAAATAAAAAAATAGAGAAAAAAAAAAGAATAATAAAAAAAAAAACTGCCAAACTCGACTCTACAGTCGGTCGAGAGAAGAAAAGAAGAAGAAAAGAAAAAAAAAAAAAAAAAACTGAGACAGATCACAGATCCGAGAAGAGAAGGAGAGAAGAAGAAGAGAAGGAAGAGGAGAGAAGAAGAAGAGAAGAAGAAGAGAGAGAAGAAGAAGAGAGAGAACGTACCGGCAGAGTCGCGGCGTCGCCGACGGCGTAGATCCAGCAGATCCGACACAGATGACAGATCCGAGACCGAGAGTAACTGTTGTCCAAGTCGTCGCCTCTGTGACCTCTGTCTCCGACTTTGTTTTGGTGTTTGTTCTTATTTTGTTTTTTGTTTTTTTAATGTGGTAACAATGTGTTACAAAAGTAATAAAATAGAAACAATAAAATATTACAACTTCCATCAGGCGCGCCTTTATATCGCCTTTAGCCTTGCGCCTGTAGAGAAAAGGCGTTCGCCTTCTGCAACCCATGCGCCTTAAGGTTCTAGAGGCGCTGAGATGGCGCCTGGAGGCGCCTTGCGCCTCAGGCGCCTTTGACAACTATGATGATGACACTTCCTCAGTTTTGATGAAGTTGACAAAGACATCTGTTTTTTTTTTGTTAGAAGGTAAGCATGTGTATAAATAATGGAGAATTGTACAAGAAGCCCCAATTATAGTAGGAATTAAAACAAAAAACAACACAACTAATAATTACAACCAGCAACACATAGGATTGACAAAGACATTTTGATAATGATAAATTGACCTATTTTTTTTTTTTATGATGACACTCCCTCAGTTTTGATGAAGTTGATAAAGATACCTTGATGACGATGAATTGACGATATTATTATCTGACACATTAAATTATCAATTTAAACTATACAATTCTTTTTAATCGACTTAAAAATCCTGATCAAATAGGTGTAAATGGATTATTCGTTACAAACCATGTGAGAAACCCAAATTTTCTCTCTCCTCACCCTCCTTTTCTCTTTTCCCCTTTCAAGCCCTTACACAAACAAACCGCCACTGCCTCTCCTTCAAACCCACCATCGTCTCCATCCCCAAAACCACCAACAACCGTGTATTTACTACTGTCGCCACCACGATGATGAGGGAGCAGTAACAAAGCCCCTAAAAAATAGAGGCCGATCAAATCCACATACACGGATTGACCACAACAGAGCCCCGCAGTGGTTCTGACGAGCAAGGAGTGAACGGCGATGAATGGGCGAGCACGATGACAGTGAAATGGCAGCGGCAGAGACCTCTGAAGAATCCACCAATAACGAGCAAGGATGTGCTTGGTCGACGACGAGCAAGAAGGATAGCGGATTTTAGAGGGATCTTTGGGCGGTCAAGAGTAAGGGTCACCGGAGAAAGCATGGACGTGGAGATTGACGAATTGAGATGGGTCGTCAGAACTGAAACTGAGGATCACTGAAGCTTTCCGTTGGGTACTTTGGCAACGTGCGCGAGGGTTTCCATTTGTAAGGTGTGCTGGGTCGAAGGCTATTTCATGTCCGACAACTGATGGAGGAGGCCATTGACGACGGCGTCGGCGGCATGTCGATGTCTTTCGGTGGAAAGATGGGTTACAATCGTCGCCTTCGCCCCAAACCACATATCCACAACAAAACCCACCACCAACAAAATCAATAGCACCAGCTGCACCACCACCTTCCCTGTCGAACAACCACCCGCAGTAGACGCCACCACTGCCATCCCCATTCCGCACCTCACAACCGCCACAACCATCATCTTTATAGTCAACAACAGCCGCCGCTATCCCCATAGTCCACAATCGCCGTCGATATCCCCATAGTCAACAACCGCAGCCGCCGTCCCCATAATTGACGATGATTTAGAGCAGAAAAAGAATGTTGAAAGAGAGAGGGAGGGGATCGGGTTTTCGGAGTTCAGATTGGGGGCATTGCTCTAAGATTACATTAATGCCCATATGTTTGATGATGTGGCATACTCTAGTGGTTATTTTTGTTCAAACACATATGGTTAAAGTGTATATATATATATATATATATAGAGAGAGAGAGAGAGTAATTCTGTCCTCTTGACTATTTTGATATTTTACCATTAAAATTAATTAAATAATGAAGGGTAAAGTAGATTTTTCACATATTTTTAGGTTCTGTTTGGATTTCAAATCTCACAAGGGTGTCATTGTTCAAAAATAGGCTAACTTGTATATGTCTCTCCTTACCCTAAGCCTCAGGGCTATCATTGTACTTTACCCAAAATTCTTTTATCCTCCTTCTTAACCATCCCTCCTCAAACATTTTCTCCAAGGAAACATAACTTAAATCCATCTGTAAATATGTAAAAAAAAAGGACTTTTATAGCAACAGGTAAAAGTTAGGATTGATATGTACTTGGATATGATAAACTGCTGGGAAACAAAATAAAAATAAGATAAACTAAAATCATTTTCATGTTTAAGTTTACAGATAATTTCAGTTACTTTTATGTTCATTTAGTTAAGAATATTTTTCCTTTACTTTTTCCTAATATTTCTTTAGATTTCATGATAATCAAACCTCTATTTATCACAAATTAATAAATAGAGGCATTGTGCTTGATTTTGTTTTTGTTAGAAATAGTAATGTCTTTTGTTAATCA